ACTTCGAATGGTAAAGACTAATTGGGGGCTTGTACAATCGGTGCACTGATCAAAGCTTCCTTGATTTTCTTAAACGCTTCTTCACATTCATCATCAAAGATAAACTCCACCTCTTTGCACAATAGCCTCGTCAAAGGTCGAGCTATTTTGGAGAAATCTTTAATAAATCTTCTATAGAACCCTGCATGACCAAGAAAGCTTCTTATTCCTTTTACTGAGTTTGGAGCTTGTAGGTTCACCATAACCTCGATCTTAGCCTTGTCTACTTCTATGCCTTTCTCTGATACCTTGTGTCCCAAGACAATCCCTTCTTGGACCATGAAATGGCATTTCTCCCAGTTCAGGACGAGTCTGTGCTCCTCACATCATTTAAGAACCTGAGATAGATTAGCAAGACAATCGGAGAAAGAGGAGCCGTATACGGAAAAATCATCCATAAACACCTCCACTTTCTCTTCAATTAGATCAGAGAAAATATGCATCATGCATCTTTGAAAAGTGGCCGGTGCATTACAAAGACCGAAAGGCATTCTCCTATAAGCATAAATGCCATAAGGGCAAGTAAATGTTGTTTTCTCTTGATCTCGGGGATCAATGGGAATTTGAAAGAAACCCGAGTACCCATCAAGAAAACAAAAATAAGGATGGTTAGCTAGCCTCTCAAGCATTTGATCAATGAATGGTAAAGGAAAATGATCTTTTCTAGAAGCAGAATTGAGTTTCCTATAGTCTATGCACATACGATGACCGGTTATGGTTCTTTGGGCTATAAGCTCATCCTTGTCGTTTTTAACCACCATGATCCCACCTTTCTTGGGCACAACATGAACAGGAGATACCCACCGTGAGTCAGAGATTGGGTAAATTATCCCTGCCTCAAGAAGCTTTAGTATCTCCTTCTTAACCACCTCTTTAAGGTTCGGGTTAAGGCGTCGTTGATGCTCAATAGAGGACAAAGCTTGGTCCTCTAGGTGTATCCTGTGGGTGCATATGTCAGGAGAGATCCCTCTAATATCAGCCAAAGAATAACCTATGGCTCTCCTGAACTTTCTTATTTCACTAAGCAATGCATGCTCTTCATGTTCAAGCAAGCTATCGTTAATGATCACGGGATATGTGGAGTTTAGACCCAAGAAAGCGTTCCTGAGCCCTGTTGGTAGAGACTTGAGCTCAACAGGGGGTGCATCAGCCTCATTCTAATCGACATCAAAGCTGCTTTGGCTCGGAACAGCTTCCTCGGCCTTTTCTATGTTCTCGCACGGTTTACCATCGTCCTCGGCACAAGCTGTCGCGGCCATAATATCTCGAGGTGTCTCCTCAATACCCTTGGACTCCTCGCTGTATAAAATGTTGAGGCCACTCTTCCTGAGCTCTAGAAACCTCGCCTCAGCTCCGAGCTCCTTCGGTTGGTCCAAATGACGCTTGTACACTTCGCTTTCCTCGTTTAAGTACCCGTGTTAAGACCACTTGTAACGGGTCTTCTGCGTTCAACTCCTCTAGGAGCTCATCAGCTAGATCCTCCATAGCTTCCACATAGAAAACCTGACCTCCAATGGTTGGTTTCTTCATCATTTCCTTCACGTTGAACTTCATAGTCTCGGAACCGATGTGTAATTCAATCATACCCACTCTTACGTCGATGATGGCTCCTCCGGTTGCTAGGACCGGCCGCCCTAAGATAATGGGGTCTAGAGGTTCCTCGTCCATCTCAAAAACTATGAAGTCCGTGGGGATTTCTATCTCACCGATTCTCAAAGGTAAATCCTCAAGTAAACCCACCGGTAGTCTAACCGATCTATCCGGTAATACAAGGGAGATCTTGGCTGGCTTGTAGCTTTTAAACCCGAGTCTCTTGGCCACCGTGTAAGGCATTAAGCTCACAGAAGCTCCTAGATCACATAAGCAATTTGAGAACTCCAAGTGACCTATGGCACACGGCAAAGTAAAGCTGCCCGGATCGGATAGCTTTCTTGGTATAGATCCCCTTTGTATTATAGCACTGAACTCGTGGCTCAATATTACCATACCCTGGAGCTCTTTTGTCTTGTTGAGAATCGCATCCTTTAGAAACTTTCCAAGCTGTGGTATAGCTAAGAAAGCGTCTATGATGGGTAAGGTAAGTTGCGTGTTCTCCAAGTGTTTCTCAAAGACCGCCTTGGCTTTGTCTAAGATTTTCTTTTTGAAATGCCCTGGGAATGGTATCTTGGGTTGGTAAGGTGGTGGTGGAACGAAGGGCTTTTCAAGCTCAGGTATCTTCTCCACCTCATTACCTTTGTCTTTAATCGGTTCCTTCTCCAAAACCTCTTCTTTATGCGCATCATCTGAGGCTGCCTCCCCTCCGAGTTGCTCATTGGCCTCAATGAGCTTTGTCTTAGGCGTTGGAGCTTGTAATTCTTTACCACTCCTTGATGTGATGGCGTTCACATACTCCTTGGGATTTGGCTCCGGCTTACCTGGTCTATGCACATACGATGACCGGTTATGGTTCTTTGGGCTATAAGCTCATCCTTGTCATTTTTAACCAGCGTGATCCCACCTTTCTTGGGCACAACGTGAACAGGAGATACCCACCGTGAGTCAGAGATTGGGTAAATTATCCCTGCCTCAAGGAGCTTTAGTATCTCCTTCTTAACCACCTCTTTAAGGTTCGGGTTAAGACATCGTTGATGCTCAATAGAGGACAAAGCTTGGTCTTCTAGGTGTATCCTGTGGGTGCATATGTCAGGAGAGATCCCTCTAATATCAGCCAAAGAATAACCTATGGCTCTCCTGAACTTTCTTATTTCACTAAGCAATGCACGCTCTTCATGTTCAAGCAAGCTATCGTTAATGATCACGGGATATGTGGAGTTTAGACCCAAGAAAGTGTACCTGAGCCCTGTTGGTAGAGACTTGAGCTCAACAGGGGGTGCATCAGCCTCATTCTAATCGACATCAAAGCTGCATTGGCTCGGAACAGCTTCCTCGGCCTTTTCTTTGTTCTCGCGCGGTTTACCATTGTCCTGGGCACAAGCTGTCGCGGCCATGATATCTCAAGGTGTTTCCTCAATACCCTTGGACTCCTCGCTGTATAAAATGTTGAGGCCACTCTTCCTGAGCTCTAGAAACCTCGCCTCAGCTCCGAGCTCCTTCGGTTGGTCCAAATGACGCTTGTACACTTCGCTTTCCTCGTTTAAGTACCCGTGCTCGCTTTGTTCCCGTGTTAAGACCACTTGTAACGGGTCTTCTGCGTTCAACTCCTCTAGGAGCTCATCAGCTAGATCCTCCATAGCTTCCACATAGAAAACCTGACCTCCAATGGTTGGTTTCTTTATCATTTCTTCACGTTGAACTTCATAGTCACGGAACCGATGTGTAATTCAATCATACCCCCTCTTACGTCAATGATGGCTCCTGCGGTTGCTAGGAACGGTCACCCTAAAATAATGGGGTCTAGAGGTTCCTCGTCCATCTCAAGAACTATGAAGTCCGTGGGGATTTCTATCTTACCGATTCTCAAAGGTAAATCCTCAAGTAAACCCACCGGTAGTCTAACCGATCTATCCGCTAATACAAGGGAGATCTTGGCCGGCTTGTAGCTTTTAAACCCCAGTCTCTTGGCCACCGTGTAAGGCATTAAGCTCACAGAAGCTCCTAGATCACATAAGCAATTTGAGAACTCCAAGTGACCTATGGCACACGGCAAAGTAAAGCTGCCCGGATCGGATAGCTTTCTTGGTATAGATCTCCTTTGTATTATAGCACTGCACTTGTGGCTCAATATTACCATACCCTGGAGCTCTTTTGTCTTGTTGAGAATCGCATCCTTTAGAAACTTTCCAAGCTGTGGTATAGCTAAGAAAGCGTCTATGATGGGTAAGGTAAGTTGCGTGTTCTCCAAGTGTTTCTCAAAGACCGCCTTGGCTTTGTCTAAGATTTTCTTTTTGAAACGCCCTGGGAATGGTATCTTGGGTTGGTAAGGTGGTGGTGGAACGTAGGGCTTTTCAAGCTCAGGTATCTTCTCCACCTCGTTACCTTTGTCTTTAATCGGTTCCTTCTCCAAAACCTCTTCTTTATGCGCATCATCTGAGGCTGCCTCCCCTCCGAGTTGCTCATTGGCCTCAATGAGCTTTGTCTTAGGCGTTGGAGCTTGTAATTCTTTACCACTCCTTGATGTGATGGCGTTCACATACTCCTTGGGATTTGGCTCCGGCTTACCTGGTAAAGCCGGTCCTCTCGATGATGTAGAAGCTTGGTTCTGCTTAAGCTCTCTGATATCTTGTTGCATTGTTGCGTGCTAGCTCTCAACCCTCTGCTGACCCTGTAACAGTTGCTGTAGAATCCCACAGACATCAGTTCCCATCTGATTCTGACCCGTTCCCTGGATCTGTTGCTGATTACCCATCGGCTGCGGATTGAACCCTGGTGGAAACTTGTGTTGCTGCGGTTGGCTGTTGAAGGTGTTGCTTTGAGTCGCTTGATTCTGCTGATTGTAACTCTGTTGTTGCCCACCGAACTGTTGCTTGGGCTGAAAGTTATTCTGAAATGGAGCTTTTTGAGCATAGCTTTGTTGTTGTTGTTGAGCAGGGTACACTTGGTTTCGGTAAGAGAGGTTTGGGTTATTGCTGTAGTTGTTAAACCGCTGATACCTCTGCTGATTCCCTATGTAGTTCAGCTCCTCCTGAGTTTGACCATCTTCATTGACATTGTCAAAACTAGGCCCTTGCTCATCGAACTCGCCGACGAAGGGCTTTTGTGTAGCCATTAGAACCTTGTCAAGCTTGCTCTGAAGCTCTCTTATATCTTTCTTCATGCGCTGTTCTTCATTAGATCCCTCTGAACGGTTTGCCCTGTCAAAATCTTCTCCATACGTGTCATTAGACATGGCGAGGTTTTCCACTAGTTCCATTGCCGCATTGATCTCTTTCCCAAGAAAATATCCATTTGAAGCTGTATCGAGTTGGTTTCTGATCTTGGGGAGAGCACCTCGGTATAAAGTACTCAAGAGGGATGCCTCTGAGAAGTCGTGGTGTGGGCATTGGTTTGTATAGCTCCGAAACCGTTCCCAAGCTTCACTAAAGCTCTCGTTGGTGTGCTGCGTGAAACTTGAGATTTGATTCTTGAGCTTGGCCGTGCTTGATGTGGAAAAGAACTTTGATAAGAACGCCAGTTTACACTGTTCCCACGTTTGTATAAAACCCCTCGGGAGCTTGAAGCTATCCTCTGATACGCCATTAATCTTTGTTAAGTCGCAAACCCGATCAAACTGATCTAGATGCTCGAGAGGGTCCTCCCCGGGTAGACCGTGAAACTTGGTGTTCTGCGCCTTATTGAGCAGGGAAGCTTTAACTTCAAAGTTGTTATTTTGCACAGGTGGTGCCTGGATTCCGGCTCAATATTGGTGTGCGTTAGCTCGGTCGTTTTCGCCAACAAAGGCCGGAGGAGGTTGTCTCTGGGCTGGTGGCGGTGGTGGATGAACATGATGGGCTTGTTGCTCATTTCTATTCGCTTGTTGTTGATTTTCCTGAGCAAGCCGTTCATTTCGTTGAGCCTGTTGTTGGTTACCGTAGGCTTGTTGTTCATTTCTTCCTGCCTGCGCCTGATTAGCCTGAGCCTGGTGCTCGGCATCTTGAGCCTGCTGCTGTATCCTTTGCTGTTCTGCCATTCCAAGCCTTTCAAAAATCCGTTCTCTCTCGCGAGCTCGCCTTTCAATCCTGTTGATGTTGTTGTCGTAGGGTAAAGGCGGTTCTGTGCTGCGAGACCTGGTTTTCATGCATCTGAAATCAAAGCAAGAACTTGCAAAAGAGTTAGTAAAATAAAAGAAAGTAAAGTCTTGTTCTTAAGAACAAATAAGAGACTAATGCTCCCACAAGTTGGCAACGGCGCCAATTGATAACTAAGAGTTTTTGGTGCTCTTTATAGAGGTTATCAATCCCCTGTCTTGTAGTACAAGGGGTTATCAATCCAAACTTGTGTGTGAGACACTAATCTATGTTACTTGTGATCTTAAGTCAAGATGAATGGGTAAAGGTTTTTGCTAGACTACTTAACAAGTGAATAAACATGAAAATGAAGCAAAAGATGAGATTTTAAACTAAGTAAAGATGCAAGTGATCAATAATAAACAAGCAAATGATTCGGATGATGACAATATTTGATAAAGACAGAAGCTTTAGACAGGATACTTGACTCGGGTGCTTCCAAGCTAGACTAGTGAGTTAATGAATCAGGTTTATCAAGCGGTTTCATTTAACATGAACTCAAAGTATGTTACCGGGGATCTCTTCTCCATTGAAAGTCGCAGTAATCAACGGCGATTGGCTACTAGAATGAACTCTCCAGTTGGCAATTGGCAACGGCGCCAAATTGCAACAGTTCTAATGCTAGAATGAACTCTCCAATTGGCAACGGCGCCAAATTGATAGCAGGAATTTTTCAATCCTTGATCAATTCCTCAACTACCCATGTCATTGTAGCACTTGAGGTGTCAATCCAAATGGAGAGATTCTAGACACTAGAACTATGAGGAGCTATCTTAATTGAAGTCTAACAAGCAGATGAGTTGGTAACAAGGTGATCTAAAACATAGAACAAACAAAAACAAGCAGTAATTTAAGAACAAGCAACAAGACAACAAAACAAAGACTCAGATTCAAAACAAAGAGAAAGCTAAACCTGTAGATGTGATCATTGATTAGGGTGCTTTAGAGATTTATTCATGATGCTAAGAACAATAATGCAATGCAAGTTACTCTTTAGTCTAGACTTCAAAAGCAGATTATTTCATTCCCATGACAATAATCTCTTTGTAAATCACTTAATCAAGATTAATTCACCTTAAGCAAGATCAAGCAATCAACAAGCATAAAGTTTGGATTGCTTACACAGAAAGCAGCAACAAGCAATCACATGATCTCAAAACCAATTAACTAAGAACTCAAATCTAGACTAATCCTCTCATGAAGGCATTAATCTCTACACTAATCCACTTTCAAACCAAATCATCATTTGTGAAATATGAATCAGTGAGAATTAAAAAACAGTTCTAATATGTCATTCATGCATTTAACAAATCATTCCCATGATGAAAAAGGCATAAATCCTTAGCTTAGCTCATTCAGACATTTCATCAAACACCTTGTGGGTGGAGAAATGACTAAGGTCTAGATCAGAGTGATGTGCAAAGATTTAGCATTAAGAGCAGCTAACTAAGGAAAGGAGATGAGAATCTAGAACCTAAACATCATACACCGATCATCTAAGCACCCTAATCTACACACCTAGAAGCTTAAAAGATAACTACTCACTAATCATGATTAACACACCATTTCCTTGGCAAGAGGTGATGTTAATCATGATTAGAAGATGAGATCAGATGATGAAATGATAAGAAACAGCTTTAAGATAATGAAATCTCTTAGATATCTCTTAATCACGTCGGTTTTACACAGATAAGGAAAGAGAAACCAAAGAGAAACTAAGATAAAGGATAAGATAATGGATAAAGCATAACTAGGGTTTTAGTCTCTAAAAACTATTTATATAAAAGGGTGTGGGCCGGGTCAGCCCAGGACAAACTGGGTATTGACCCGCCCTTTCTGGGTTGCTGGAGCCACCCCTTGGCATCTGAAGAAGCACCACACCGAGGGTCACACACCAGGGGGTCATGTGCTGGGTTGAAACTTTGATGAACACTTGAAGAACATGCATGAGACTTGGCCTTTGATCCGGTTAAAGCTTTGAAAGGTGAAGAGGATTTGTTTGTGATCTGGGTTGGAGAGTTGACGACCTCGGCATAACATGCCGAGGGGCTTGGTACCCGAGGTTTGTGAAACATAGGACCTCGGCATAACACACCGAGGGGTTCACACCAAGGTCTTCTTCAACACTTAGTCGTTTTGGGATCATTTTGGTGATCAAGGGAGCCTTGGTGTTGAAAGACCGAAGTCCTACCTCGAGGTACAGTCTAAAAGCTTCGTAAACATTCCTCCTAGGCATAACATGCCGAGGTATTCACGCCAAGGTAGGGCACAACACTTAGCTTACAGTCGCATCTCTTAAAACCCGAATTGACTAGCTTCTATTCTGTTCAGTGTAACGTTCAGCTCGTAACTCCAAATGACCTGAAACCAGTTCCGTGAGAAAGATAACTCATTCAGCTCGATCTTTGGTGAAGAAACTACCTGCGCTTTGGAAGTGGAAGGTTCCTCACAGGGCTCATCTTTGCGATGCATTGACACGATCAGAAAGAGGCTTCCAGATATGCATCCATTCCGGAAATGTTATATTCTTTTTCATAGCTCCAAATTGAATGATCTCAAACGTTCTGGAAAGAGGACTATAATATCTTGAATCTTGATGAAGGCGCTGTAAGCTGAATCGGTCTGGAAGTGCATCGTCCCTCGCAATCTTTGGAGCTCATCGGGTCGGTCTAACAGTAGCGACGAGACATGTGTGTCTTCTGGTGACCATATATTTCAGCTCCGTGGTCCAAATCTAATGATTCTAAGCGTTCCGGAAAATAGACCCTTTGCTCTAGAATTTCTATGAAGGCCCCGAAAGCCAGCTCGGAAGGGAAGGCTTCCCAGTAACGACGTCTTTGAGGCGTATCGGGTTTCTCCGGAATGAGTGCGAGACTTGTTCGTCTTCCGGTGACCATATCTTTCAGCTCCGTGGTCCAAATTCCTTGATTCCAACTGTTCTTAACGCTTGACTAAATTATCTCCAACTTTTATGAAGACTTAAACAGCTGAATCGGACGGCAAGACCTTCTGGTAACGTGATTTCCGAGACGTATCTGCACAAAAGATTTTTGGCCGAGAGATCTACCCGCGGGAAGGATTTTGGCCGAGAATCTTCGACCTTCAGTACAGCATATTGGTCAAGAAAGGTTCTATGCTTTAGGGCTTGAATCGGTGTTAGCCTTTAATAAGGAGAGAAGGCTCAAGGGATCACGTGTGATGTTTAAGGAAGAAGAGAGTTGGTGTCCGTACAATGGTCCCCCCTTGGCGCGTCGTTTACACTTGGTCTTGTGACCGTTGGAGCTGTCACTATCTCTCGGGATCCATGCTCAAGACTCACATGTTTCCTTATGTCTCTAACCACTTTCTTTTGTATTGTAGCTTAGTTAAACCTAGTTTCTATTCTGTCTCCTCTATATATGTGTCAAAGACGAGAATGAATAAACACACTACTTTGGGAACTCTTTCTCTCATCTCTTTTGCACACTCTCTCAAATCTCTTTATTCCGCTTAGTCTCTAAATATTCTAACATGGTATCAGAGCGATTGGTTCCGATTTCCTGAGTTTCTTTTCTCTATTCTTTAAACCTTATTCTCTAAATCTCTCATTCTCTAGTTCGCTCATCTCTTATTCTCTTGTTTCTCAAAACCCCTCAAGAACAAAATGAGTTCCAACGATGCAAACACCGAGATCTCAAAACCGGTGGTGATTCCTGTTATCCTCAAAGGAGGAAACTACTTGTTGTGGTCTAGAACCACAAAGACGGCGTTGTGTGGACGAGGGCTTTGGAATCACGTCTTAGAAGAACAGAGTCCCGAAGAAGACGCCACCAAAGACGGAAAGAAGGATGAAGAAGCCAAAGCTGTGGAAGCAAAATGGTTCCAAGAAGACCAGACCGTGCTTGGCATCATTCAAAACTCCCTTGAGCCGACGATTCTTGAAGCTTACTCCTACTGTGAGACAGCAAAATCTCTGTGGGAAACTCTCAAGAATGTGTTCGGTAATGATACAAACCTGAGCAGAGTCTTTGAAGTCAAGAAGGCGATTAATGACCTGAGCCAGGAAGACATGGAGTTCAAAGCTCACTTTGGGAAGTTCAGATCTTTGTGGGCTGAGCTAGAGATGCTGAGGCCGAGCACTTTGGATCCTAAAGTTCTCAATGAAAGGCGAGAGCAAGACAAAGTCTTTGGACTTCTTCTCACGCTAAACCCCATCTTCAACGACCTCATCAAGCACATTTTGAGAGAGGATAAGCTCCCAAGCCTTGAAGACGTTTGTGCAAGTATCCAAAAGGAGCAAGGTTCTATTGGTCTCTTCAAGAAGCAAGACCTCATCTCGGCCAACAAAGGTGTCTTTAAACCCGATGACAGGAAGCCATGGATCTGT